TTGACTATGTTCATATTAAGATTTTTATTGTTTGTTGAGTACGAACCTGAATGGATTGTTAAATAAGCAATTAATATCAAGCCGTTAAACTAGATTTGATTGAAGTATTCTCTTACGTTTGTCTTTGATTGATTTCGAAAGTCGAGATATGATTTTGTAAATGAATATGTATATTCCAAGTTGTCCGACAAGTAATAAGCAATGGTTTAAACGAAAAAAATAGTCAAGATTATATGCATTTAAGGGGACCCCCCCCTTTCCGGCGTTTTTAAGAAACGGCCGAACGAAAATTCCTGAAACTTGCAGGGTGGATAGACCTCGAGTAGTAGAGCAAAAGTTGTCATAGACACAAATTTGCCAGACGTCATCTTCATGGACTTCCAGAGACCCCAAGGTCAAAAACTTGCAAAAAGTTTTCCCCCCCCGCAAATCCACAAATTTCATCCGTTTGAGCTGAAATTTTTGCTGTGGGTAGACAGACCCAATCGGGGTGGGCGTTTTTTTTTTTTTCAAAAATTCCAAATACTTCAGGCTGGAGAACCAAAATACTGAGCACCTTGCAAAATCTCTAGATTTTTTGGATCCTAAAAATTTTGCGAAGCCTGCCAAACTTGATTGGTAGAAGGTATCCAAAAAAAAAAAAAACGCCCAACCCAAATCACTCGAAGTCTCACCAAAACAATTTTCAGCCCAATCGGACTTGAAATGGCGGAGAAAAAGGGGGAAAACTTCATTTTTTTGCTGAAAAAACTGATTTTGAGAAAAACGCAAAGAAATTTGTGTTTTTTTGGTTTTTTCAGCATATTTTGTGATTTTTTTCGACTTTTTTATATATAAGATGTGGTTTTTCAGTGCTCAAAATGTACTCAATGGATAGAGGGCATTTAAATCTATATACTAATCACAAAAAATGAAAAATGAAAAATGTGAAAATTTTGAGTCGGGAAAGGGGGGGGTCCCCTTAATCAGTGGTAGTAGTAATTGACAAAAATGATTATGTTGAAGAAGTGAACTATTTACTTTTAACTTATAAGAAAAATAAATCAAACTCAAGATATTTTTGAGAAACTTAATAGAAGGATAAACAATGTTTCGATAGGAATTTTTCGAAGAAAACCTACTCTAAGATGTCTCAGAAGTTGTTTGAAAGATGTTTCGTCGGCATTGTGATTGACTATGCAATCTGCATATCTTTTGTTCAAGAAATTTTTCAAAACCTATGTAATAATCGGTGATTTATTCGAACCAACAATAGACTTTTGATAAGTTCTGTGTAGAGACGAATCGAAACACCACATTTTGTTCAGCTCTATCTCACAAGTAACGCTCGTCTGTGTGACTCGCTTAACCCTCGACTGAATATTTCACTGCATCGGCAGTTGTTTATTACTGCAGACATTTTGCAAAAGGTAGCATCGGGCATTTGCACATGGCTTTGTGCTAGTGTCAACATTAGTGTACACATGTGTCGGCGTGTATAATGCTATTGGTACCGTTGTAATACTGCTAGCTATAGCATTCGTTCATTTAATCTGTTACTCTATCAATAACACTCAAAAGAAATCTACGTGACCCACACTGACACAGCAATATCCTCAAACCACGAAAAAATAGTATATTCGATTTTCAGAGAAAATCGGCAGACAAAAAATATCAGCGTGACTGCAGTAAAGATGCACTACACTTCACGCAAACTGTATTAATAATGCGCATACTCATAAACACATAGGCGGGCAATATCGCTGACCGGTACCCACTACGAAAATGCATGTTTAGCGTAGCTATCAGACTAAAAAGCTATATTTGTTCAAACTAATATCCGGCATACGCAAGTTGAATCAGGCTTCAACTCTGAGTCTTTGTGAGAATAAATAACGAATTTTAAATAGCCGGAAAAAAAATTTGACAAGTCAATGGGCAGATGACGTATCTATGAAGACAAAGGATTATTAAATTCCATTCAAGTCCACTTTTGATGATTCGATGCAAATTGTATTATTGACGCTTTTCAGGAAATGTTTGATTCCGATATTGAAGATCTCCAACACACTCGTTCTCACACTTCATTCAAATACACTTGTTAACCCTCTTGCCAGTTCTTCCTCCCATGAATCCTAGTAAGATCTAAGTGCTAGAGATCCTTCCAATGGATTAGAAGTTTAAAAGAATTCTATTCAAAGGATTTTTTAGGGCAGCAGCTAGTCACTCGTCAGCATCCAAGTGGGTCGTCACGCGCAACTAATTGCTGTTATGCATCGTTCTCTTCCAGTAATTATATAATCGTGCACTGTTATTTAAATTTTACTGGATTCTAGATTTGGATTAGTTTCAAAGCTGCCTATATTTATCGCATGAGAAATCCCAAAGTGAAAATACTTGTGAACTATTCCTTATGCGTTTCAATCCTTTACCTAGCTAGTCAATCTAAGATTTCATGGAGCTCGCCATCGAAAGAAGCTTAAGTATATGATTTCACACAAAAAACTAGCTTAATAGACCATATCTCATACCAAAAAAATTGTGAAATAGAAATAGAAGCTACTATATTTCACTGTCGGAGTTTCGACGTGGCGCTATTCACACTTAGCTACTACTATCTTTGAACACATATTCTCAAATGACTACTTTCTTATTCAAGGCATGACTAATCCACATTTCGACTGCTTCAAAAGCTTCTCTACTCGTAACTAAAGGGTCCTAGATTTCCTATATCCAGCAAGATATCTATTAAATATATACGTGTCGTCTCTCGAGTTTCTCCATGTTTATAGGAGTCCTTCTCTACATAAAATGTCACATGTTAAGTCTCTGTGGCACTTTTTTAAGGACCTTGCTTGATGTTATGCAGAAATGTCGTAAAACAGATTTGAATAAACCTAGTTTAGAGGCAGCTATTCGTTCGCCGTCCTTCCGAAGGAACGCCATTCACGGCTATCCGCTACTTCCAGCTACTTTCACTCACGAAAGGTTGATACCATTTTCAAAATCGAGCCATCGTTCCTATTTTAAAAACTGATGGAAAGTTTGATCCTTTACAAAAAAATTCATCCACATTAGAAATTTTCTTTGGAAGCTTATCAGTATTCAGGAAGAGGACACGTTAGTATAGATTTACCGATAATCTGAAATATTCTGAATAAGTGGACACAGCCGTTGTATCCTGTCAATCTAAATAATTTTTTTGCGTAACTCGCTCTCATTCCTCAATCTTTGTTCTACAAGCACTCTAATTTCATCTTATCTTCGTATTTCTTGATTCATTACACTACTGTCACGTATTACAAAGTACTTGCTGTTTCTCAACATCACTTCTCATAGAACGAATAGATTCGAGATCTGAATTTTGGAATCCTGATTCCAGATTCGGATTTCTCACCCTCGATAACCTCTAACAAAGTTCGATCAAAACGGCCAAAAGCCGTAAAATAAAAAAGTTCCTTTTTTGATTGACCGGTTTCCGACCAATGAAACTTCGGCCAAAGAAATGGCTTCGGATTCGGATTCAGGGCCATCGATAACCTATAGCAAAGTTCACTCAAAACGACCAAAAGTTTTAAAATGAAAAAGCTCATTTCTGATTGACCGATTTCTGACCAATGAAATCTCGGCCAAAAAATGGGCTTCGGATTCGGATTCAGGGCCCTCGATAACCTATAGCAAAGTGCGATCAAAACGGCGAAAAGTCTTAAAATAAGAAAGTTCTTTTCTGATTGGTTAGTTTTTGACCAATGAAATCTCGGCCAAAAAAATAGCCTTCGGATTCAAATTCAGCGCTCTCGATAACCTATAGCAGAGTTCGATCAAAACGGCCAAAAGTCTCAAAATAAAAAAAAGTTCGTTTCTGATTGGCCGGTTCCTGACCAATGAAATCTCGGCCAAAAAAATGGGCTTCGGATTCAGATTCAGGGCCCTCGATAACCTATAGCAAAGTTCGATCAA